TTGTGTAATGTAGTGTAGTGTAGTGGAGCGTAGTGTAGTGGAGTGTAGTGTAGTGTAATGTAGTGTAGTGTAGTGAAGCGAAGCATCATCTGAACCTCCAAAAGTGGTCCGAACCCCTGGTGTTTTTAACATTTTGACTTCGAAATGTGCTTCGCGCCACAACAGCGTGCACTTTTTGCAACATCTCAACTTCCAAAAGTGGTCCGAGCATAGTGTGTTTTGTACATTTTGACTTGGAAATGAGCTTCGCGCCACAACGGTGTGCGCTTTTTCGACATCTTAACTTCCAAAAGTGGTCCGAGCATGGTGTGTTTTGTACATTTTGACTTGGAAATGTGCTTCGCGCCACAACGGCGTGCACTTTTTCAACATCTTAACTTCCAAAAGTGGTCCGGAGCTGAGGTGTTTTGTACATTTTGACTTGGAAATGTGCTTCGCGCCACAACGGCGTGCACTTTTTTGACATCTCAACTTCCAAAAGTGGTCCGAGAATGGTGTGTTTTGTACATTTTCACTTGGAAATGTGCTTCGCGCCACAACGGCGTGCAATTTTTCATCTCTCCTCTGGCCAGCTGCCTCCGCACCCGCCGCTTTAGCGAGCCTACTTTTCGACCCTCCGGAGCCACAAATCATTGGAAAAACACAGTGTTTCGCGACTTTCTTACCTTTTCGCGCATCTGCATCTTCTTTCTTCTGACTCTTTCTCTTCTACTCTTCTCTCTTCTAATCTTTCTCTTCTCTCTGCCTCTGCCCTGCTCTGCTTTTCATCTGTCCATATTGTCAGAAGTTTGACTTCTAAACTTCCTTCGATAATCATATGTCAATCAATATATATATATATTATATTATATATACGTATATGAATGTTATGTCAGGATATAACTATGAATGATATAATTCAGGCACACATAGTTATTCAGCCAGAATTCTTAGCTAGAGACTATAGGATCATTCAGCATAATTCAGCCAGATTGGATGTTTGCTTGAAACCGAAGCGAACTCACGATTGTCCATGAAATAGTTTTAGCTGGTATAAATGCCAGATGAAGGAAAACAAACAATATGGGCTTCGAAACATTATAATGTATTCTCCCATTAAATCTCACATAATATATTATGATAATGGATATATGAATGGGATTATCATATATGGATAGATGAATATAAATAATTGTATGGTCCATTTCATATTTAATATGATTATATTTCCATTATTCCATCTGGGTAAATTATAACGACCTCACTGCGACCTCACTGGAATCATGGTTAGTAAGAGGAATCATCCCAAAATGGCGTTATTTCAGGTTAGTGAAATATTATAATTTACCCAGATTCCATTGGTTCATCATTTTTTTATAGCTCAAGGCTAGGTTCAAGGCTAGCCAGCTGGTTCTTGCTGATCCGCCCAGGATATGGCGCTGTTTCTGAACGCGCCTTGGAGACAGCTGGGATGATGTTTTTCGCCTGTTAAAATTCCATGTTTCATCATATGTTTCCCAAAAAATATCAGGTCAGTCATCATGAATTCGGTCAAAAAGATCGGCATTTTTTTTTCCTCTAATTTTTTTGGCTTGGTGGCATATAAAAAGCCATCTACATTGGTTGTTTTGCCAATTTGGGCATGTTACGCTGCTACGTGGACTCAGCATGACGATGCGCTTCGTCAGCCTCGGAACCAGGCCTATGCGCGGCTCCAGTTCCGAGATCTGGCGCTCTTCAACAGCTTCTCCAAATCCATCCGCAGGACCCGTCAGCATCTGATCTTGTCGAAGTAACCACCTGGTTTTTTTCCCCGACCTGGTAAGCATACAAAAAACGATAGAACACAATCCACCATTTTGAATAGGTAAATCAACGATTTTTGTTTGGGGTATTTTCATTTTTTTCAAACTGTTAGTCATGACCAGGTCGGGTATATGAAAATTGATGTCATCTAGAACCATAAAAAAAAATGATTTGGGTAAATGATGGTTTTTCAACTCATTCCTCACTGACAGCCTCCACACGTGGCCGGGGTGGCCTCTGTGACTGGTGGAAAATGGGTAGGATTCGCCTTTTATCGTCCCCAGATTCACTGCAAGTTTCAGGATCGTGGTTGTGAACTATGACGTCATTTACCCAGGTTATGGATGGTTAGATATTGGTATTGGTTGGTGGTTTCAAATGGTGATTTACTAGGGATATTAATGGTGATTTAATGGTGATTAACCATCTGGTAATGGAAAATTAATGTTTGGTTGGTGGTTTCAAACATGAATTTTCTTTTTCATATATGGGATGTCATCCTTCCCATTGACGAACTCCATAAATTTTCAAGATTGGTTATGGCACCAACCAGGCTAGATTAGTTGATTTGCCCTCTGGTAATTTAACATAAGACATAGCTGACATAGCTATTGAAAATGGCCCATCATTTATAGTTGATTTACCCATTAAAAATGGTGGATTTTTCCATATAAATCACCATGTTCCTATGATTTTCCCATGGTTTTCCTATTCAAAATGGTGATTTTCCATAGTTTTTTGTATGTTTACCAGAGGGTAACCATGGATACTATGGCATTGTTCGCCATGGAATGGCCCCAGTGGAAGATCTCCCACCTTTCCCGGTCAGGGCTTCCTCGGTGGGCTACGGAGAGCAACAACTCTCCCTGCTTTGCAACGCCTATGCGCGGCTGGAGGCAGGGGAGGTCATGGCGTCGTGGGAAGAGTATGGAACCATATTAAACCACCATAACCTGATAGAATCACGGATTGTGATGATGGCGGGTTTTATATGCTTCCATACTCATATCAAACCACCATATTAATAAACCATATTAAAGCACCATGCCCATATTATGGCTTATTTGTCACATCATGGCTTTGCGGCTTTGGGTTTACCATGGTTTACCCACATGGCTTAATGTGTTGTTTCCAGAGATTTTCTTGGCAAAAAGCGGCAACGCACACCTTTTGGCGGGTGAAGTGACAGGACAAGACTTGGGTGACCTTGATGTCACCCATAGTGTTGTTATGTGTTGTGTACATATCGCCTGATATGTAGCAATTTGTTGACTAGCAGTTTCTTGGGCCACCAAATTTTAAAGACCCAGAGCCTCTGACTGGTCATTATATCTCTGGTGCAGTACTTGGATATTCATGTTGCTTGCACTGAGATTGGCAAATGAGCTCATGGTTTCAATGGGATTTACCCTTGGGCGTCCTTTGGCCCTGTCTATTTGAGGATTGTTTGAGCGGCTTCAGAATATGCATTATATGATGTTAAATGCGAGAAGATGCGATGTATGAATGAATCTGTACATATATATATATATATATATATCATTATATATGTGATATGATATATGATGACGTATTACCCTTTGGTAATTAAAGATGATAAACAAGTGGGAAATCCCAAATCGGTAAATGGAGGTTCACTCTACCAGCGAGCAAAACCCAGCTGCTGTGGGGCATCATCGCCAGGATGTGCATGGATACGTTTTTGCGCCATAAGGGAGAGAGAGTATTGATTCGTACTTAATACATGTCAATACATGTTAATACTTACGTAAGCGAGAGTAATGAGTAATGGTTCATACTTAATACATAGATATATTCATGTATAGCACATACAATACACATCCAGTACACATGGATGAAGAATAATGAATGGCTGGGAAACGCTGATCCTGGCTCCGCAGCTGAAACTCGGCTCCATGAAGTACATTTTCGAGGGACAAACCATGTGGGCAGAGACGCCACAAAAACACGCAGAAACAGCACATTTGGTTGGGACCCAAAGACATTCATTTAGGAAGAGAAAGTGGAAGTTGTGCTGTTTCCAACTTGCGGTTGAAGTCAATCACAGACACTTGGTAGGCGAACGCCAGAACAAATGTCTATTGAATCTGTTGTGCAGACAGTTGTTTCTACATGCTCAGGATGGGCGTGTTGCCTTGACACTAAGGAAGCCAAGGCACCAAGGCAGTAACTGGGACCCAGCAGTTGGAGCCTCAAGGCAAGTTCTAATGCACCAACTTCAGCAGAAATGCCGGGAGTTTTGGTCTTTTAAACCGTGGATTCCTGCGCCGGAGAACTGCCAACCCATCATTGGTAGGCCACGGTCGGGAGACTCAGAAGGCCGACCTGTTGCTGGGTAAAGTTGTCATTCTTCTGCAGAATATACCACATTTGCAGTCTAAGATGGAAGCGAAAGAATATGGTTTGGAACAAATTGGTCATGGTAGTCATATGCCAACTGTAGCCTAGCTGCCCGAATGGGGGCACCACCCAGAGGTTTCTCGTGGCCCGTGCAGGTCAGGTCGCCCGGCTACTCGCCATGGCGTTGGGCGGCCTGCAAGAGGTGAGCGATGGTTGGGCGATGGGAATCGGAAGTGTTCAGCAAAATAAACGCTGGTTTAGTCTGGGTCAAGGTGAAGGAGAGAGAGAGCGAGAGAGAGAGAGAGAGAGCGAGAGAGAGAGAGATAGTCTGGGTCAACCTCGGTTAGCTACTTTAGTATACTTTAGTACTTTAAATCTTCTGCTATCAATGGTCAAATGTACTAACCAGCTAGAAAATAGTTGTTTTTGATGGCAGGTATCTAACTAAGATCCATGATTGAATAGAAATCTTGGGGATTTAATCACCAATAAAAATCTCATGGGAATATGAATTACTTTACTTCGTGTGATCCCCACCATGACATTTATACATTTTGTTACTGGCAAATCTTCTGGCATTCTATCTGACATATTTTCTGGCATTCGATCTGGCATTCTATCTGGCATATCTTCTGGCATTCTACCTGGCATTCTATCTTCTGGCAGATGTTCTGGCATATCTTCTGGCAGATGTTCTGGCATATCTTCTGGCATATCTTCTGGCATATGTTCTGGCATATCTTCTGGCATTCCATCTGGCATTCTATCTGGCATATCTTCTGGCATATTATCTGGCAAATCTTCTGGCATTCCATCTGGCATTCTATCTAGCATATCTTCTGGCATATTATCTGGCAAATCTGCTGGCATTCTATCTGGCAAACATTCTGGCACTTTATCTGGCATATCTTCTGGCATTCTAGCTGACATGCTATCTGGCATTCTATCTGGCATACCTTCTGGCATTCTATCTGGCATATCTTCTAACATTCTATCTGGCATATCTTCTGGCACTCTATGTGGCATATCTTTTGGCGTGGATACTCGCGGTTGAGGTCCGGCAGGGAACACTGGGCGTGGATGGTCGTGGTTGAGGTCCGGCAGGGAACACTGGGCGGGGATACTCGCGGTTGAGGTCCGGCAGGGAACACTGGGCGTGGATGGTCGTGGTTGAGGTCCGGCAGGGAACACTGGGCGGGGATCCCGCGGTTGAGGTCCGGCAGGGAACACTGGCGGTGATGGTCGTGGTTGAGGTCCGGCAGGGCACACTGGGCGTGGATGGTCGCGGTTGAGGTCCGGCAGGGAGCAGGAGTAGAGGAGCAGGAGGAGAGGAGACGAGGAGAGGAGGACAACGAGAGGAGGAGGAGGAGGAGAAGGAGGACGAGGAGGACCAGGCAACTGACATAAAATCTAACAACCCTCACCTGGCAGGTGGGGAATCATTTAGATTCATTTAGCCTCTTTCCCCCTTGGGTTATAACCATCACAAATTGGAATTTCACCAGCAATGCTGGTATGCCGTTTGGGGATGTCATGAGCACCTAAAAAAGCAACAGGAATCGGTTACCGACCCTTTTTTCACACCAGTAATACTGCTTGGTGGTTTCAAAGATGAATTTTAGTTTCCATAGTATATGTGATGTCATCCTTCCCATTGACGAATTCATATGTTTCAAGATGGTTATTGCACCACCAACCAGGTTATTATTAACCATCATTAACCATTAATAATAACCATTATATAATATTCACCGTATATTAGACATATAATATACCTTGGTCGTGTGTTTCAATTCCCAGGATGGGGAATCATCACTCCAGATGGATGAAACCCAGGGATCCTGAGGGGAAAAATCTCCTGGACAGGGCCTAAATCCGTACATTGTTGGGTGTTGCTTGAACTTCCTACTATGTTTAATATATTTAGATATGTTGGGGTGTATAGAACCTACTAAAATTTGAGTATGTTGATAATATATTTGAACACATGTTGAACTGTTTGTTGCTGGCAGCGCCATAACTTTGCTTAGCATCCCGGAAGATCAAGATGTAATTTCACAACCTTTGGTGGATGCCTGCGGCCAATCCTATCCACAGATGTGGTTGAGCGTTAGTTCAGTTTGCCGATGTGGTGATATGGACGTTCATCACCCGATTTCCGATGTGGAAAAACCATAGGCATATTCACCAATTTCCATGTTTCATATATTTCTCGGGTGGAAACTTCCTCCAAATCTCTTTCACTTGTATCCATAGCGGTCATTTCATTCAAGTTAGACAGGCAATCGATGGGCCGGCAGAGCCCGGCAACTCATGTCCAGCAGTGATGGTGCTTGTGCAGTGTCAAGTTGTGAGACAAACTCGATTGACCTTTCTGTTCAATGCCTGAATGGTGAAGGATGCACGCTCGATGGTTCCTGTACTGGCCGGGAAGTGCACCAGATGGTTTCAAAGCAATTTCCTCTGAAGAAAGGTGCGATACTCACCCTGCATCACCTTGATACGCCTTTGATACTGCACAAAGCATTGCAGGAGCAAGGCATTGTAGGTAAGGCTGCTACGCTCTCTTGCACTTATGTCCCAACAGATCTCTATGTTGCATGGTGTGCCGTCCAAGGTTTGCCAGTCTCCCAACGGGAGCTTGCATTGGAGGGAATCACGCGGATACAGGACACGCTGATAATGGGTGCAACAGCCACGGAGTATTTGCACCATCTCCCACAAAGCCTTGAACACTTGACATTTGGCAGTGACTTTAACGAGAGCTTGGAACAAGTGACGTTGCCAAGAAGTCTTCAGAGTTTGGCATTTGGCGATGCCTTTAACCAGAGCTTGGAACGAGTGACCCTGCCAAGCAGCCTTGAGAGCCTGACATTCGGCCACAGGTTTAATCAGAGCTTGGAACGAGTGACCCTGCCAAGCAGCCTTGAGAGCCTGACATTCGGCCACAGGTTTAATCAGAGCTTGGAACGAGTGAACCTGCCAAGCAGCCTTGAGAGCCTGACATTCGGCCACAGGTTTAACCAGAGCTTCGAACGAGTGACCTTGCCAAGCAGTCTTCAGAGCTTGGGATTTGGAGATTGGTTTAACCAGAGCTTCGAACGAGTGACCTTGCCAAGCAGTCTTCAGAGCTTGGGATTTGGAGATTGGTTTAACCAGAGCTTAGAACGAGTGAACCTGCCAAGCAGTCTTCAGAGCTTGACATTTGGCTGCAACTTTAGGCAGAGCTGGGAAGAAGTGACATTGCCAAGCAGTCTTCAGAGTTTGGCATTTGGCGATCAGTTTGACCAGAGCTTGGAACGAGTGACCCTGCCATGCAGCCTTCAGAGTTTGACGTTTGGTCTTGAGTTTAATCAGAGCTTGGAACCAGTGACCCTGCCAAGCAGCCTTCAGAGCCTGGTATTTGGCGATGGGTTTAACCAGAGCTTGGAATCAGTGACTCTGCCAAGCAGCCTTCAGAGCCTGACATTTGGCGATGGGTTTAACCAGAGCTTGGAACGAGTGACCCTGCCAAGAAGTCTTCAGAATTTGACATTTGGCGATCGGTTTAGGAAGAGCTTGCAACGAGTGACCCTGCCAAGCAGTCTTCAGAGCCTGACATTTGGCGATGGGTTTAACCAGAGCTTGGAACGAGTGACCCTGCCAAGAAGTCTTCATACTTTGACATTGCTTGGTCACGTTGACCATGGAGAGGTCGTGCCAAACCGTGGCAGACTGTTTGGAAGTCGTTGGGTCTTGGTCAGCAAGGCTTGACTTGCTTCTGAAGCAGCGTTGAATAGAAATGCTTGGGGGCTAACAAGTGTCAGTGAGGCGCCTTTTGGTGTTGACTATGTGGTAGTGACAGGTCCAAAAATGAGATAAATGGTACGGAAAGCTGAGCTGGATTCTGATACGACACCACAATACGTCCATATTTGGTTGGTGGTTTCAAACATTTCTTATTTTCCATAATATATGGGATAATCCTTCCTATTGACTAAGATTTTTCAAGATGGTTAAAACCACCAACCAGTATTTGATGTCCTTGTTTTTGTTTCCCTCTCCCGGGCTGACCATGCAACGGTCTTGCACCCAGCTTCATCTCCCGGAGTATCCAATGACCACTGCCGCGGCCCAGTGACAGGATATAACCCCGGTTTCTTGGGTGAGGTTTGCTTTCATGGGCCAACCCATTGGCAACATTGAGCAATTTTTGTGAACAACCGCAATACGGCCCATCACTCAGTGGAAGATACAAATTACTGCCTGAACGATTAGTTTTCATGGGACATGGGCACCTTTCAAGCCAGGAACCTGTCTGTCTCGAATATTGCAAAATGAGGTTCAGTACCCCCTGGTTATTTAACATGGCCATGGAAAATGGCCCATTTATAGATGATTTTCCCATTAATACCTTCATTTATAAGGGATTTTCCATGGCTATGTTAAATAACCAGATGGTAATTACCGGTAATTCTTGCTTCATACAATTTCACCCATGCACTGCGATAATCCAGGCGTTTCTGGGTACTTTGACTATAAGAGCTTATTGGGCCTGTGCATGTGCACAAAAGAAACTGAACCCTGATTCTGAAACAATCGGAGGTGGAACGTTCGCATGCTACAAAGTGGTGTTAACATGTGTTAACCACCAACAATGTACAGCGCAATTGATTCGCACCCAACATATAATTTCCAACAATGGGGTGCCAAGAAATGGTGTCCGGCCCCCATAATTTGTTTTTCATTTTTTCCAGTGATTCTCTTTCCCAGGTGAATTCCTCCGTGACCCATCTAACTTCCATGAAGAATTATTTCACGATCATGAAAACGTATTTTTCAGACAACAAAAACAGTCGTGTTTTGTTCATTTTTGTTCTAAATCTCCTAAAGTGTTTCAGTTTCAAGCTTTCCCAGCATTTTTGCATCGCTGGTGAAATCCAAAACTTCCCCACTACGTCACCTTACGTCACCGTGTCGGCCTCGCCAGCGTTCGCCGCCAGGTGGTGGACCACTACGTCGATGCAGACGTGGTCACTGATGAGCTGAGAGAGGCGATCCCGGGGGATGGAAAGATCTACCCTCAGGAGTTACGCCACATTTTTGTTGGCTTATAAACCATAGAAAGTATAGATATATCTAGTTGGTTGGTGTTTTAGAACATGAATTTCATGACTTTCCATAATACTGGTATATGGGAAAATCCTTCCCATTGACGAACTCCATAATTTTTCAGAGGGGTAGGTCAACCATGGTCAACCACCAACCAGTAAACGTTTAGATGAAGTGTCCCATGATTTTCAGGTAGATGAATTCTGCAATTTGCATGGCTTTTCCACATCTGTGTAACTTGTTCAATGTACCAGATTATGATTAACCATCATTAACCATTAATAATACCCTCTGGTAAACTAACATAGCTATGGAAAACCACCATTTTTAATAGGTAAACCATCTATTTCTATGGGCCATCTATACCATAGCGAACTGTTAGTTTACCAGGTCGGGTAACCATTAATATTTAACCATTGAGGGTAGATCACATAATGGGATCCAAAGGTTTTTTTTTCTGGATTTTGATGGTTGGATTTTTGTGGTTGACTTTTTTCCATGTTAGGGAAACTACTGGGATTAAACAAGCATAATTACTGGGATTTAAAGGGGTTAACTGGGATGGTTGGATCTTTACGGGATTTAATGGGCTTTTCTTTGGGGTTTGGATGAATTATGTTGAGACCTCACTCAAGTGTTTTCCGCAACTGGATTGCTAAGCCATTGAAGAAAAGGAGTGACACAAATGACTCCGGTGGTGGCCCAAAAAGCAGTGGCACTCGGGTGTTCATATGCGAAATCGGAGCCGGCACTGGGCACCTGCAGTCGACGCGGTGTGTGAAACACTGCCAAAGTACCTCACTCCGAAAATCACGTTCGAAGCCGACAAGATCTGGTTGGTGGTGACTGGAACCATGGAATTTTATGACTTTCCATATATATTGGGAAGAATGATCCCAATCCCAACTGATGAACTCATATTTTTCAGAGGGGTACCCTCTGGTAATTTAACATAGCTATTGAAAATCACCATTTTTAATGGGAAAATCCACTATTAATGGTAATTTTCCATAGCTATTTTGACATAACCAGAGGGGTAGGTCAACCACCAACCAGCACTGGCATTGCCTAGAAAGACAACGAACTATGGCCGGGGGATGTTCCAGCCATGTGATGGATGACAACCCGAGGGTAACATGGTTTAACTACCAAAATCATGGGGACAAAAACAACACACAAAGATGGGAATATGATGTGGATATGATGGGAATATGGTGGGACTATGGTGTTGAGCAATCCAAAAATAATGATGAATCATGGTTGAAGTACCAACTATTGGATTTAAGCCAACAAATGGAGAAAGTTGATTCACATATAGCATGATTGGAGTGGAACTAGGGATAAGGGAAATACTATTACAATTTGGTTTATCCAACAATTAATGGGAATATGATTGGAATATGATTAGAATATGATTGGAATATAACGGTTGCCCACCCACAACATGGGTTTATCCCGCAAGAATGGAGGTTTTTAAGCAGCAAAGAGAACGGCATTCCTTTGATGAAGCTGTTGCGTGGGCAAAATGGGTGTTTTCATTGGATGGGGGATATATCAATCTCTAACTTATCAACTAATTTAATGAACTTATTTAATATAGATGATATATTCCTGGGGGCCAACGTGTCAGCAATTGTATCAACTAATTTAATGAACTGGGGGCCCTTCCTGTTGGTCAATGGGACCCACAACGCCAGCGATTTGACCAATGATCGTACAACTGTGGACACATTGGATGGTCTGTTTTTTTGGGGAGCCACAAATGGGAAGACTGGTGATTAATAGTGGTTTAATGGTGGTTAATAGTGATTAATAGTGGTTACATAAAAAAAAACTCATATTAGCCTCTGGTAAACTGTTACAGTTTGCGACATAGAACATATGGCCCAATTAGATCCATGGATAGTTTGTTGATTTACCCGGTTTAGCCATTGATAGCATGGTGATTTGCAATAGCGTTAAATTACCGGAGGGTATCCAGCTCTAAAAAGGAGTCACCAATGCTGGGATATGTGGGGTAACCAAAGATTGCTCATGATCATTCTCGCAGATTTGAAGCAGGTTGGGCTGAGGCTACTGCTACTGTATCAGCCGTGATGTGCGTGATGTGCATCCCATTTGGTATGTGGTCAACAAAGGCATACAACAACGTTATGAGCCACTGATGTACGTACACTATAAATATGTACAAAGGGGATAAAGCCGTTCTGTCCATTTGGGTCATCAATGTTCATGAGCCACTTGTGTGAAGCTTGCTCACCACGAACCTTGGCACATTGATCATATATCAACTTTGGAACAGCTCGCACTAAGCATTTCACCAGCTTCCCCAGCTACAACAAACTTGTATATTGGTCACTTGATATGTTATATCATGCATTTTCCCGGGTAATGATATCGCATATATTAGAATATTTTGTTTATTTAAGTAACTAAGATTACATTGTTAGTTGTAAATTTACTGTGATATTGTTTATATAATTTTATATATTATATATTGTGATATTATAGATTGTTTTAACAATGTAATAAATAAGTATACATATATATATATATATGTATAGCTTACTTCTACAAAGTTTGGCGCATCCGCCAGGTGACTTTGAACAAAGTCATCGAGGCTCTAGACCAAAAACGCATGGAGCTATTGGACATCGTCGTGCACCTGGAGAAGGTGGAAACCCTGGGAATTTTGGGGAAACCTATGGTGATTTAATGGTGATTTTCATGGTGAATTAAAGGGATTTAGTGATGATTTAGTGATGATTAATAATGCTCAAATAATGGATAATCATGGTTTACCACTGTTTACCTGATGACATCATATGCTATGTTCCATCTATTTTTGGGATTTTAATGGTTAGGACAGGAATGGTTAATCATGGGAAAATCACCAACAATCATGGATGAATAATTGGAGTGTACCCTCTTGTAATTGATCGGAACACTGGGAAATTCCACGAACTTTGGTGTGAAAGGAAGTGAATATGTAGGTTTGCAATGCCTTGTAGAGCATTTTTGGTTGAAATATATATTGCGTAATTTGTTCAATGTTGGTAGGTAAGCATGTCTTGTTTCATCAGCAGGGGTCGTGTGGTGCATGTCGACGGACAGCGCAGAGGTGATGTGCGATGCCAGCAACCCCACTGGTCGGAGGTGCGCAGTGATGCCCGAAAACAAGGTTTTGTATTGAGTCCCATAGAGTTCAAAGGATGTTAAGGGGGTGTTTGATATTGGGAGATGTATCTGAGATGGAGATGCATAATATAATTAGCTCTGAAAATTTGTCAATTAAAAACGCATATTTTACTTGATCCGTTTATGTTCTCAAGGTTGTGGCACTGAAAGCAGGAAGAACTAATCAATATTGTCGTTCCCAAAGATGTGGTGTGAATTACTTTTGATGTTGTTTTTTGTTCGGCATCCGAAGTTGTACGTGCCTGGCACAACCAACCAATTCGTAGAGTACTGTAGTGTTTTGCCGGCAGGAACGCGATTCAATTCCTGGCATTTTGCTTACGGGACAAAGCGGAGTTGAAACTGAACTTCAAGCATGTAGCGGCTTGGCGTGTGATGCACTCCATTCGTTTCCACCCTCTTGATCACTTTTCAGCCACTAAAAATACCCCTGTTGATTGCTGATGAATAGGAGGTTATTAACCTACTGTGTTTATTGGGAATGATTACAGCCCATTTCCAAGGGATACCGGGATACCTATAAACCAACCAGTATCATGGGATGAGAAGAATCGGGTAGTTTTCATGGCCCTTTTGTTGCGGAGATTTATTCTCATCGCAGATGAACCTGGCTGTGGAGCCTTAGGCAACTTACTTTTTCCCTCCTGTTCTATCCTTCCCTGTCCTTCCCTCGGAAGTTTGGGGCTCCAAGGGCTACCCTCTGGTTATTTAACATAGCTATTGAAAATGGCCCATCTATAGTTGATTTACCTATTAAAAATGGTGATTTTCCATTGCTATGTTAAATAACCAGATGGTAATCCCCAACAGCCCAGGGGTTGGCATTATTCAGATCTAGTGGGTCAAGCTACTGACACTTTTGCAGCGGTTTGTGACGGTTTGGCCTCACGACGATCCCACTAGAATGTCACTAGAAATGATGGTTCAATAGTGTTTACTGTGCATATTAAGATATGTTAAGTCACATCTGCAGTAAATCAGCTTTGGATTGCCTTTGAACATGTATAGTAACACTTCGGTTCCAAAATCCCATGGTGAGGCATCATATTCCCATTACAATAGTTGGGGACATCTCCTATGCTCAGAGCCATTTTTCTTGCTGAAGGATCATCCTCGGCCCTGAAGACCTAAGACCTAAGGAGACCTTCGCCAAGTTCTTCGAGAACAAGCTGAGTGACTGGCAATGTGTTGAGGGTGCAGTTCTAGGCATCGTGGATGGAGTTGGGGATGGAGCTGGGATAGATGCAATGTTAGTAAATGTAACAGTGTTTGTCATCCCAAAATTTACCATTCTTTATGGCTTGGATTGAAACCATCAGTGGATATATGGGTTTATTATTGATTTACTAACATGCACCAACTTGATATGATATGGGATAAAAAGCATGACCCCAACTTGAGAGTTTTAGAGTTTACTATGGAAAGGCACCATTTTTTTCGGCAAATCATCGATCTGAAATGTGTCATCTTCCGTAGTTTTTTTTTTAAACTTACGAGAGGGATCATCAGGATATATCTTTCGGGCAAACTGAACATGAGTAGAAAGTAACGATTGTTCAATCTGATGTAGGGGTCATGGTCACCATCCCCCGTTGTGTTCCAACAAAAACCATCCGAATCATCCTATACTACGTAACTATTGTATTGAAACAGCTACATGTGTAAAATGAGTACCATCTGGTTATTTAACAGTTTGCCATGGAAAATCTCCATTTTTAATAGGTAAACTAACCATCTATTTCTATGGGCCATGGCTTCCATGGCTATGTTAGTCATAAGCAGAGGGTACCTTTAGGGTAGCTGTTTTTAATTGGTGAAATACTCATTTTATGATGCAGGATGACCTGCAGAGAGGTTGGTTGGATAGTGAATGACTGGAAATGATCGACGATACTGTACGACGATACGGTATTTTCACTGCGATGAATGGTTGAAGCAAAAATAGGGTGCACAGTACAACCAACAGTGGTTGAGATGTACCCTTTGGTAAACTAACATAACTATGGAAAATCACCATTTTTAATGGGAAAACTCACTATAAATGGCCATTTTCCATAGCTATATGTTAGTTTACCAGGTCGGGTAAGCACCTTAATTCTAGGAGTAGCTGCGATGGGGATCGGTGGAGAGCTGTTCCCATCAACCGAGTTGCCATGTCCAGCAGTCGCATCGATGCATCTACGGCACTGTGTGATTGACATCACGAGTCATCAATCAGCACGGCGCGTTAACATGCATCATGCCCATGTATATCTCTCATATGGCACATTATGGGTTCCATCCAATCATAATTCCTGCTGTAGGATAGCACCTATTGGTCTCATGAGTGATCTTGTAACACGAAAGAGAGCGAGAGAGAGAGAGAGAGAGAGAGAGAACGGGAGAAGGATATGTGAATATATGAAACTTATCTATATGACTGTATATGTGTATAGACGAGCAATAGCTAATTTGATGCCTGCTTGGTAGTTTCAAATATTGAACTTGTTCAAATTGATCTTAGGTTCATAGCTGCTCTGGTCGAGGTGATAGTCCCCAAGCTTGGCTTTGCCATATTGTTCAGGGGTTAGTGCCAGCAAACTGAGATGCTACACCCTAGGTGGAAGGGATATATGCCCTCTGGTAATCAAACATGGCGTGTTGGAAAATCACCCGTTTATGGATGACTTTCCCGGCTAGAAACATCCATTTAGTTTGGAGATGTCCAATTGCAACGTTTGATTACTGGAGGGCAATTTGATTCGGCGATGGTGCGCAAAGGCCGCATAGAACAGATGCAGATCAATTTGTAGATAGAGACAGCTAAATTCAGAGATGGATAGATGGAATCGAGTGGAAGATGTTGAATGGATGAGCCCATTTTGAATGCCTTTGGCTGTTCAAAAGTCCCCACTGTTGGCTTCTTGAAGTGTTCCAAAACCTTGCGGTTAACCTTATATATATATATATCATTATATATATATATTATATTATAGCCATGGAAAATGGCCCATTTGTAGAATATTTTCGCATTAAAACCTCCATTTATGGTTGGGATTTTCTATGGCTATGTTAGTCATAACCAGATGGTAGCTGTTGGGTGCTCAAACGCCCACTGTTTTTCCTGGCCGCGTTTCGCACGCGGAACAGGTATTTTCGTGCTCTTCAAGCGCCAGGCAGCTCTGATCCGCACCCTGCAACTTGGCGATTTCGGGTTTTGGGACCGGTTGGGATGGTCCCCACAGTTATGGCCATTTATGAAAGTTATAACTGGTTATTTCAGTGGGATTATACATGTTATAAATGGGGTTATAAGTACTTATAACTGGTATTTCGGGCCATAACTGCAAGGAATGGAACGCTTTAAACCGCAAAATATTATGGAATGACTACGGTATTTGGAAGAGCTGGTTGTATATCTTTTCTGGCTGGTGATATCAGATGTATATATTTTAATGTTCCATTCAGAAATTTAAATGGAATCTGGACCCGACATGAATGATATAATTTCGTGGTGAAGGATTGAAAAAGACCACTGCGGGTTGGTGCAATAGCCTGCCATGGCCTTCTCTGTCGGTGCAATCCCTTCGACAGACAGTTATGGGTCTGCTGGAAACGGCGAGGAATGCCGCCCGATCGCGTCGCGAAGCGCTAAGAGATCTAAGAGCAGAAGATGCTGCAGTGCAATTATGCTTCGAGTTGTCAGATGCAATGTGGGGCCCCCCAGTTATGTTTGTTGGTTTATAAGCCCCAGTAACTAGTTCGTTATAAGTACCATAAACCATAGTGAAATTGGAGTTATAAACCAACTTAGCTATCTTGGGGGCCTCACATTGTGCACTAAAACGCGCTAAAGCGAGAAGAAGACTCGCTCTTGAGACTGCAGAGGCCGCTGAAAGACTGAATGTCACCCAAGCCATGGCAGCACCGTGGCCATTGCAGCGTGGACAGCAGAGCTGCAGTGATCGGTGGCACCATTGCTGGATTTTGTCTCACCAAAAATTGTATTATATAATAATAATATTATGATGTTGAGATGCTGCTATTTCTATTCGTTCTATAAATATTTATTTTTTGGAAAAAAATAAGAAAAAATAGGATTCAGAAATAGGAAAAAAATAGGGTTCCAGAACTCAAATAGGAAAAAAAGGACTGCCAAACCAAGATGAACCACAGCTTCAAATTTGGGAACAACACCAACACAAAACACAAGCAGAGCCTTCTACATTTTATGAGGAATGTCACTGTGGATATATGTGGGTCCACTGCCAACCTGCGTATGGTGTTGCATCTATACATGTAAATGTTTGGATATGTCCCATGCGTGTATGTAAGTAATTGCAATTGCTGCTGCTGCGTTCGCAATTGGAAAAGGAAAGGAACCGAAAGCAGACATTGAATCTTGAAGGCACCATCTGCTTGGGGGAGCTGGCTAAACGATTGAAATAATGAGCCAATAACTTGTGAACTGCGTGACGTTCGGCTCGTCCCAAATTCAGCAATAAGCGTGGCGCTCCCACACCCCTTTCCTCCTCCCCCCGCTTCCTCCCCCTCCTCTCCCCCACCCCTATTTTTTTCCTATTTTTTTCCTATTTTTGAATTCTATTTTTTTCCTATTTTTTTCCTAATTTTCTAAAAATGGGCTGCTAGCTATTTCCTATTTTTTCCTATTTGTTTCCTATTTTTTCCTATTTTTTTCCTATTTTTTTCCTATTTTTTTCTTATTTTTTTCCTATTTTTTTCCTATTTTTTTCGATGTTTTTTACGTTTTTTGACGGTTTTGGGGCCCGAATTCAAAAGAAGGAAAAAATAGGAAAAAAATAGGAAAAAAATAAGAAAAAAATAGGAAAAAAATAGGAAAACAATAGGAAAAAAATAGGAAGCAGATGTTCAGAAATAGGAAAAATAGGAAAAAATAGGAAAAAAATAGGAAAAAAATAGGATTCAAAAATAGGAAAAAAATAGGGCCCAAAAATGCAAATAGGAAAAAAATAGGAAAAAATAGGAAAACAAATATAATTACTGGTATTTTTTTCATTTTTTTCCTATTTTTCCAATTTTTTCTTATGTTTTCCCTATTTTTTCTTATTTTCTCTTATTTTTTCTTATTTTTCCTATTTTTTTGGGGTGTTTTACGTTTTTTGACGGTTTTGGGAGCCGAATGTAAAAGAAGGAAAAAATAGGAAAAACATAGGAAAAATAGGGGAAAATAGGGAAAAAAAAGGGTATGGTGCTGGAAGCAGATGTTCAGAAATAGGAAAAATTAGGAAAATAGAATTCAAAAATAGGAAAAAACAGGGCCCAAAAATGCAAATAGGAAAAACATAGGAAAACATAGGAAAACAAATATATTGGGAAGTGCTTTGTAGTCCTGTGTCAAGTGTGTTTTTACGTCCTATTTTTTTCCTATTTTTGATTCCTATTTTTTCCTATTTTTTTCCTAAAATAAATATTTTCAACTTTTATAGAAATAGCAGAAAACTTTGCATCATAATTAATAATATTCAATAATAATAGTCATTATAATAATTATTATTATATATATATTGATATTTTTTGCTGCCATTGATTTTGATTCTCAAATTCATGACCGAAAGAGTTCTGGGTTGTATTTTTTTCTGTTTGCCTCTTTTTCTGCCATCCAACTTGTTGTCCCAGCATGTATTGGGCTGGGCAGACTGACTCGCGCATGTCAGGGACAGCTCTTTCTTTTCCACACCTTCCCATACGCGGTCGCTTTGTTGATCGCAGGGCTGAAATCACGGCATGTTCACAGAGATCTGAGGGCACCCCAACTGCCACGTACCTCGCAAACAGAGAAGGTTGTGTACATGTGTTTTTCATCGCCACCAACCACGGGCGCATGGACCCCCCATATTTGGAGGGGGACCTCAAGACTTCCATGATATTTCATAGCCACACAAGATCAGTTGTTTATTCCATATAAATAATCATAAATATATGCTTCATGTTGTGGATTTATGATAGGTAGATGGCTTCATGATTACATAAGAAAATAGGTGGTAAACATAGGTAGATTGTCATAGTATGATTCCTTCTAATTATTTGAATCCAATCAAGCATGGTTTCCGGTCAATTTTCCTTTAAACAAACCCATTGGTTGTTTGCACATGTTTGCACACAACGGTACAGGAGTATGTCGGCTAACACCTTCCACAGGCTCCCCCCTACCACTTATAGCAATTTGCACGGTTTTTGTTCCCTAGATTTTTTCTGGCATAGAAGCATGACATCACCCACACAGTCTTGGGTCGTTGGTATTGTGAGGCATGGCACATTCTTCTTGAGGGTGCTGTTCCCCTGAATAATAAGTGGGTATATCCTCATAGTTATAGTTACAGGAGTTATATCATATCCACAAGTTAATATAGTTAATCATGGTTATATCCACAAGTTAATCGTATGTGTTGGGGTTTTGTCCCAACTAATTTAATTGGTGGTTAAATTAAAGTTCCCTTTTTTCCCATGGAAGTACCCCCAAGTTCTGTCGGGAGATGGCCATCAGCTGCCCAGGAAACAGGAGACGGAGAACGGAGAAGTGCCCGAAGTCCCAAGACGGGGAGGTGTATTTTTTTCCAGAAGTTGTGCAACGTTAAAATCCACAATTTTTTGTTTTAGATACATATGTATCATACACAGGAATATAATATATATATATATGTATAGAAAACATGTGTATGTGTGCGTTTGTCTCTGTGTGCGTGTCTCCCATTTTTTGTTTTATACATCATCATTGTATCAGTTGTTATGCACCAGCCCCCATCGGGTGGACCCTCTTCAAAGTGCCCATCCCAATTCATAGCAGGGTCAAGCTATGTCAAGCTATGTAAATCTCCAAGATGCCAGTTTTGTTTGTTAAGTCCCCAGCATTTGTTGGGAATCCAGCGTGTGTGTATATTATATATATATATGGGTAAATTATAACGACCTCACTGCGACCTCACTGGAATCATGGTTAATAAGGGAAATCATCCCCAAATGGCCTTAATTCAGTTTGGTGAAATATTATAATTTACCCAGATATTATATATTTATTTATCTGCAATACATATCACACATCTCCGTGTTTCTTCATTTCGTCATGTTGGAACATGTTTATTCTATAGAATTAGGTCAGATCCCCCTTATAGTTATACACAACTTTCAAAAATCAAAGTATATCCCCATACCATGGTATATAGCTAAAATATAGCTATATTTCCTGGTGTATACAAGTTGGAAACCCCTTATATAAGTTCAAAATCTAACAACATTTGGATCCAAAACTTCATAGAAGTTTGGATCCAAAACCTTACAGCTATACAAGTTAGATCCCCCTTGATAAGTCTTCAAAAATCCACACTACAAAATTTAACTTGGCCACATGGTTTGAGGCCCTTGGCCGTGCACCTTGCAGATAAGATGCTGAAGGAGGCCCAAAAATTCCGGCCGCGATCATTCAAACAACCGGTCATTAATGGGAAATGCAATGTTTTAACGGAAAAAAACATGTAGAATCAAGGATACTTGGATCCCACTTTTCATCACTGGTGTTTGTGGGGTTCACCTACGGGGAAAACCCTGCGAATTCGGGACTTACCAGAGTTTTCTGAAAACCAGTGGGACAATCCTCGTAGAATGAAGGACATCGATGGTTAAGGAACTGGCTGGTTTAATTTGGTCATCCGTCTTTCCAGTAGAGGTTGGCCCTTCTTTATCCATCGCAATAGGGAAACGGCCAGATGGTGGTGTACCTTCGATTGCTCAAGGAAACGAGCCTTAGGCTCCTTTTCTCCGGGGCTATTTTAGGAGAAGAAATCTCGAGCCGCTTTTCTTAGCAGTATCTTAGCAGTTTCGAAGAGGTCAGCAGCCAGACCATAGACAGAGTTTCCTTTTGAAGTTGGCCTAAAAGACCTACACTTGGAACTGACGCATGCGTTTGGAGTTAGCTGGTGCGTGGCCCAGCACTACGCATTTGGATCCAAGGGCCCACGTACTCAACTGTCAGCTCCCTGTCATTCGTTTGCCTGATTGTTCATTGATCCACTATGATCCACTACTGTGGAAAACAGAACAACTGGTTGGTGGTTTGGAACATGTTTTTTTTCCATTCAGTTGGGAAGTTCATCATCCCAACTGACTTTCACTCCATGATTTTTCAGAGGGGTAGGTTGAAACCACCAACCAGATTATTAACCATCATTAACCATCATTAACCATATAACCATATAATAACCATATAATAACCATATATTTACCAGCAATAAATAGGTTAGATTTTTTCACCATCCCAAATGGATCTCGGCCAGGTGCATGTGCCATCGCATACGCAGGCGCCGAAAAATGACGCAGAATGACGCGGTGACGTGACGCTTGGGATGGTGATGATTGTGGTGGGATATGATATATAGGTGAATAGTTTAATATTTATATATATATATATATATATACAGATATACCGTATACATATTATATATATGATATTATGTAATGTATGTATGACAGAACAAAAAGCAGAATGCGCTGCATTAGCGACATACCTAGACCCGGAGAAGGAGATGGACGAAAAAAAAGAGAAGGAGGTCGACGCCGATGCCCAAGGTGTTCATTGAACAATAAATGAAGTAGTGCTGGATGTACACATTGTGTCTATTGCACGGTAATTATCCTTTAAAAAAATGTTTTATTGATTGATGGAAGACGAGAATGAGGATTACCAAAGTGGCGGGGATGAAATGTGGTAAACCCTATGATACCCCCAAACGGTAAATAGGGTCGCAGTGTCGATGGTTTGGTATCATGGGGTTCACCACTTTTCGTCCATTCTTGTGCTCTAGGGGTGTGTCTTCTGCAATCTAGCTTGACACTGGTTTTTCACCAACCCGAGATACCCTGGTAGTTTGACACAGCTATTCAAAATCATCATTTGAATGGCAAAATCAACTATAGATGGACCATTTTCAATAGCTGTGGCATGTTAATTCACCACAGGGCAGATGATTTCGCGCGGCTCGACGCGCCAGGCCGTGCGCAAGTCTGTGTTGGACACGGTCAGGGTCCTAGTTTCGGAAGAGTCCAAACTGATCATGTGGCTTTGAGGCAAGTCATGAGGGCATTTAAAATGGTCCACCCATTTGGTCCATTTTTTGGTATTAAAAATGTCAAATGAATGACTCTAAAGCATCCATTTTTAGTGCCCAACACTTCTGAAGCATACAAATGTCTTAGTGGCTACTTGGGAATGCATGTCCTGCTTGGCTGGATTTTTTTTTGCAAGCTACACTCATGCACCAAAAACATGCCAAACATAGTTTGTCCGGGTCTCTCAGCTTGGCCATATGGTCAGCCATTCCTTCGTTGGGGCCCGGAAATCCTGACACATTCCTTCGCTTGGCGCTGAGATCTTGTTGTTGGAGGAAGACTGGCGTTGCTTGGCTACGTGTTCGGGAGTTGGTAGTGGTTGATGTGGGCAGTGTGGTTTCATGGAACCTGACTTGCCAGCCTTCCCTCGAATGATGTTTGGTAAAGGGAATCATGCCGAAGTGGTCCATCAAACAGCTTTAGGCATTACTCTGACCTTCCTAAACTCACACTTACCCTCTGGTAAACATACAAGAAAATCACCATTTTCAATGGGAAAATCCACTATTTCTATGGTCATTTTCAATAGCAAACTGTTGACATAACCAGGTCAGGTACTGGAGATATTTCCTGGAACTTCGGCCATCTAAGCCCTGCCTTGGCCTAATGGTTTCATTACGTATATTGACGGTGATGATTTTTGAGTCCTCGTGATTGATTTAATGATGATGAGACTCGTTATGTAACAAAGATCAGCTATATATATATATATCTTTATTTTGTAATTATCAAGTTTCTTCAATTAAAGAAGGCAGATGCTGGCTGTGATGCTGCTGCTGCTGATGATGATGATGATGATGATGATGATGGTGATGATGATGATGTTGACGACGACTTCGACGACGATGTCATGCTTCTGGTTTGGTTTCCCTTTGCATGTGGAAGCAGGCGATGCATTGCAACACCGCCATTTTGTGCGCAAATAACTCAACATATTTTATAGCTGCGACTTCCAACAGAGCCCTTGCCTGCGGGAGGAAGCAGGCAATGTGGTATGAGAAGCCCTGGCAAAACAAGTCCAGAATAATCTATGTGGTAGCCGGTTTGTAATTGATTGCAGTCTTGTTGTTGGCATCCGACCGAGGACAACACCAACTTCAACCTAAATTTGCAATTAATTTCATGTTTGTGTGGGCTGTGTGAATAGAACTCAATGAAAGGAGTTAATATAACCATAATCAATGTATAAACGCTTAAACAAATGCCGTATCTGTGGCCTGTGGGTTATTAAATGACTAGATGTAATAAACAATATGATATGTATATTTTTTCACATATATATATATATTATTTATATTCTCCATAGAACGTTTACAAGTCATAATACGTATTTTGATTACACATTCATACCCATAGGATCCATGGTGCTGCTATATATGGTAACATGGATCCCATCAATATACCCCATCCTATGGGATATGGATCACATCACTTCGGCAGATGATGAGCTGACCATGCTGGGCCCTCACCTTGGCGACGGCATCGCCGCCGCCATCGAGGCAGGGAACCCTGAGATTTTTTTTTGGCGCTGAAAAAGGGGCCGGTTCCCAGCAACACCAAGAAAAATCGGGATAGAATTAGGGTTTTACCAGCAAACATATGGATCTTGCCTTGATTGAACTAGTTCATTTGATGGTTTAGCCAACAAAGAATAAGAAACTGATTAATATTGAAGTTGATCATTTCTTTGACAAGCAATCATTGTAAGAAGAAACATGAAGATTGAAGTTGATTTGATAGATTTGACTCTGATTTGACCAAGAAACAATTGGACTTAGTCAACACAATTCAAGGTTTAGCGTGGTGATAAGATCGACAAGTCATCCACTATGGATGATGAATATGGGGATCATGATGATAGTTAATCATAGTTAATCAGTAATCAGTGAGAACATTCGCGGAGAAGACGAGGATCATGTGAATCATCACCAAGAAAATCATAGGATAGAAGGGATACAACATGATACAACCATCCTGATTTGCCTAAACTCTCCACACTTTTAACCGTCCGGCCATAGTGGCCCATAGAAAAAATCCGGCGGCAGATGGCCAGGAGGAACGAGATCCACGGAATTTGTTAGCCTCCTTCAAGGTGGTTCGAAAGGCGCCGGAAAAAAGGGGGGCCGTGGGAGTTTGATGATGGTGGTGTTCGCGATGATGATGGTGGTGGTGATGATATATATAATTTATACAATATATATATATATATATATATTTATATATATATATAGTATGTATAAAATAATATATATATATTATAATTATATATACATATTATTTAGGGAATCGGGCATGTTTTGGCCGTGATGGAAGTAGTGACGGTCGATCTTTTGGTTGTTCCAGGGTTTATGCCATCGATTTGAGTGGGTCTAGATATGTCAAGTACCCACTGCCAAAAATGGACCAAAATGGACCAATAAGATGTTTGTACCACATTTTGTGGTTTCTTTGTTTCACTTAAATGTGACAAAATGTAAACCAAACTAAATAACTATACAATATATATATATATAGATAGATGTGTATATATATATATGTATATATATATATATATGTGTGTGTGTGATGATATATGTACAGTTGCCACGAATGGCATCATGCCACATGGAACCAATCAATTGTGGTTCCATTGCTGCAATGTGGTCGCCAATGCTGCGACCACGAAATCTCCAGGTGATGGCAGATTTTCCTGCCGCCTGCGTTTCGAGAGAGGCGATGTCATAGGGAATGTCATGTGTAGCGAAGTAACAGGCGACGCAACACATGAATATAATTGAATATATGGGTATATCACACATGAATATGTTTTACCCAGATGTATATCAGGGTATATCACCCATAGACTCTAGTTCACCAAGTTATGAGCCAACTGAACCATATGGGTAAATTATAACGACCTCACTGTTCTCCCGAGCCCTAGAATCATGGTTTATTTATGGGAAATCATCCCCAAATGGCCGCAAAAATTCAGGTTAGTGAAATATTATAATTTACCCATATATATATATATATGATATGATAGTTGATTTAATATGGTATATTTTTTGATATAACATAGCATGGTATAATAGTGTACAATATGGTATGCTATGGTATAATATGGTGTATATATAATATTTGTATTATGATCATAACATGTAACATGTAATTTGGTATAATAACATGTAATGATATATATGTTATGATATATTACGGAAGCCAGGGCGGATTTCCAGGGAAATGAAGATATAACACATCAACGGGAATTTCAGGACTACAATGGAGGTACAGTACTTTTTTCTTAGGTAATATTTTGTCGGGAGATTCCTTTACATAGCCTTTGCCTGACATAATGAGGCCTTATATATGGTACCAGTAGGATGTAGGTAGGTACCTTCAATTTAGGTCCCTGACATGGTCATTGATATATGGTAATTTCTGATTGGTAAACTCATGATATTGCTCATAGATTTCAGCTACATGTTTTGCCTTTTCCTGGACTGGCACTTCCATGGTTTTGCCAGAATATGCAATGGCAAGAGATCTGGGCATAATGCTGTCATTTAACGACTCAACTGAGCAAACATGATAAGACCAAAACCAACAGAAATCCCCTCTAACGCGTCATACGGAACAGATAGAAATATCACAGAATCAATAATTTTACTGTAACATGTGCTGAACTGGATGAACGAAGCTGGATGTACCACGCTGCCAGTCGCTGCCAGGCGCTGACGGCTTTGTTCGACACGCTCTCGTCGTATTTTCCCATCACGCACCTGGGATTTTGGGGACTTTGGATGGACGAGGGACGAGTTTAAGGGCCACCAAAGCAGGGTTGGTTGAGGGATTTCCCACCTTGGTTATCCTTGGTTTAGATGTCCCCTGATGTCCCATTATATATAATATAATATATATACATATATATATATAATATATAAAAATATTAATATATATATACACATAATTAACATATATATATATGTATCCATTGAATGGTATCCAACATGAAATATCCCCAGCAAATATCCAATCATTAATATCATATCAGTCTATCCCGAACAGTGTATAACATATTATATATTCCCAACATTAATCCAAGCATTATACACCAACACGATACTCCATTGTATTCCCAACAGATATCCTCAAGTCAATGGCCATTTCAGGATCCTAGATTGGGAATATCCCCACAAAATATGGCCAGAAATATGGTACTAACGTACCTCCATTTTAGGATCCTGAAATTTCCATTGACCAAGATATCCTTAAGGATTGTTGTTGCCTTCGAGGTTCCAACCCCCGAAGGGAGACAAGATCGGTATCACCGGCGATGATCTGCGAGAAGCCTTGTCGCAGGCGCCGCGCTTGTTGAGCCTCTCGTGGTTAGTAATGGTGGTTCAACCATCACACGAATTCATGGCAGATGATGGCAACTTGGAACCATGGAATTTTATATGTTTCCATATATTGGGAATAATAATCTCAACTGACGAACTCGTATTTTTTCCGAGGGGTAGGTCAACCACCAATCAGATGGCTGGATTAAAACCATCAAAAACCATGGTCGAGTCTCAACAACCCATGGGAAAATAATGGTGTATATAATGGTGTACATATATATATATATGTCATGGGATTTTGATGGGATATATACTGGGTAAATCCTGGATGGATGGATGCATGGATGGATGGTTGGTTGATGGATGGATGGTTGGTTGATCGATGGATGGATTTCAATACTTTTACTTGGTGCACTTGAACTAAGCTGATCTAAGCATTTTTGGGTGAAAGGTATCTAAGATTGACACGGTATACAGATATATGCAGAAAGTTTCAGCACTGGCAAGGAGGTTTAACCATGAATAACCAAAGGTATATAACCCCCACAAACAGTAGAAGTTGAACAAACCCCATTCTTAACAGTTGATTGGATAAGTTTACCTAAAGATTTCTATGATATGAGGGGTGTTCTGGTGAGATGGCGAACATCTTTAAGAGTAGAAGTTGTTGTATGTATTCTTAACTGATTTTCTTAACAAAATGAAGAGCACCCCAGCCTTGTTTTTTGGTGCCACAGTTTATGTCGATAATGTTGTACATATGATTTTGTACAAGTTTACGTGGTTTCTAGCACCGCATGTCTTGCAAGAGCACATATATTCTACCCTCTGGTAATTTAACATAGCTATGGAAAATTGCCATTAATAGTGGATTTTCCCATTGAAAATGGTGATTTTCCATAGCTATGTTAGTTTACCAGAGGGTACCTTCCTTATCCTTTAATCCGACGTTGGAACAGTCATTGCCTTCGGCCCAATCCACCGGAGTTCGGTGGCACAATTCCTCCCAGAACCGCTCTGAGACTCCAATGATCCAAGACATTTTAGGGGGCTTCACCGGCGGCAAATAGGATGCCATGCGGAAAACATCACATGTTTTGGTTCTCGAAAAACTCACGCCCCCGAAACGTGTAGTTATTCTCTATTTCATAATATATATATATATGTATGTGTGTGTGTCTAAATAATTGGAACATCTACAATCAGAAACAATTCCCAATTTGTGGTGAACCCCCTCATCCATAGTTAAGGCTGTTCCAAGTTCGATGCAAAAAAAAAGCCACGATTTCCGTGTTGGTTGTTCGACCGGAGGATATACCATGATATAACTCATGATGCCCCATGATTGTTTCAACACAAATCCTAAAAGATCCCATCATTCATTGTGGGTTAAAATCCCCCATCCTTGGGTTAAAAGTCCAGTGATCCAAGCCACCCTGAAAAAACAAAAACTACGACCGATCCAAGCCGAGCACCGCGGAGTTGTCAGCAGGCGTTTAGTGCCTCGCCCCGCTTCACGGACCAGGCTTTTTCTGGGCGTTCGGAAAAAAACATCTGTGGGATCTCAGCGCCAGTCCAATTTGGAGTAGCATTTTATACCGATGTTTGAAGTGCTGAAAAAGGAGGTATGCACCCCTTTGAAAAAGCCCCATGTGCAAAAAAACTCAAAAAACCTCAAAGCATGTTTTTTTTCTTTGTGTGATCGTTTGCTCGTTCGTTTATTGACATCACGCACGTGCTTTTTTTTGCCTGGCATTGGTCATTTCTCCGGCAATATGATGCCACTTCTCCTATCTTATCCTTATTCGAAAGTATGGGGGAAATATAGGTTTCAACAGCCATCCTCTATGTTTGTCGGCAACTGTGCATGTCTGTTTAGTTTCTTCAGCAATACACTCGATGGTTCAAGAACAGTTCCGTTCTCGTACATTTAAGTTTTCATCCATTTCTTGGCCTGCATTTTCTTTAAATGTAAATGTAATTATTTTTAACATAATATAACATATATTTATATATATATATATATCTTTACAATAATATATATATATGCGGTTTTCTCTCTATATTATATATATATATGTATACTATATGTGTATAGGCCAATTTCAATTACTTTGCTTTATACACATATCCCCAGGTTCAAAGATTCTTTATACAATGTCTAGAAATGATCCTTGCCAATTTGCAAAGCGTTGGTAGGTTGTGCCCTTCCTCCTGGACGCGAGTGCCTGGGTTTTAAGGGTGCTACCCCTTCATAGCCAAAGTTCATAGATGTCATAGATGTGATATTTTGTCATGATTTCATGATTTGTTGAGTATGATTTTATTGGGATTTATCTTCACAGCGGGGTTTACCCTGGTGTTTGTTTTTTTGACGTTGTGTTTGTTCCAAGGTCATCGTACCCATCAGAATGCAAGCTTTGGCAATGGGATAGCAACAGCATGACATGGTTCGCCACCTGATGCAATACATGATGCAGAACACAGCAAGGATCAATGATACAACCAACATTTATAAAAGTATGCGCGGTATATTACAACATATTACCACCACACGTGAGGACACGTGTTGGGTTGTATGTCAAGTTCCCATGTTTTTTCCCCACCTGCCAGGTGAGGGTTGTTAGATTTTATGTCAGTTGCCTCCTCCTCCTGCCTCGTCCTCCTCTCCTCCTCCTCCTCTCCTCCTCCTCGTCGTCCTCCTCGTCGTCCTCCTCGTCCAACTGCGACCCGCGATCCACAGTGTTCTCTGTCGGACCTCAACCACGACCATCCACGCCCAGTGTTCCCTGCCGGACCTCAACCACGACCATCCACGCCCAGTGTTCCCTGCCGGACCTCAACCACGATCATCCCCGCCCAGTGTTCCTGCCGGACCTCAACCACGACCATCCACGCCCAGTGTTCCCTGCCGGACCTCAACCGCGAGTATCCACGCCAAGTGTTCCCTGCCGGACCTCAACCGCGAGTATCCACGCCAAGGGTTCCCTGCCGGACCTCATGTAGGAAGATATGGGACAAAGAATGTGCAGAAGAAAGTTAGAAAGAATGTCAGAAAGAATGTCAGAAGATATGCCAGAAGATATGCCAGATAGAATGCCAAATAGAATGCCAGATAGAATGCAGAAGATATGTCAGAATATATGCCAGAAGATATGCCAGATAGAATGCCAGATAATATGCCAGAAGATATGCCAGATAGAATGCCAGAAGATTTGCCAGATAGAATGCCAGAAAATATGCCAGAAGATATGCCAGATAGATTTGCCAGAAGATATGCCAGATAGAATTGCCAGATAGAATGCCAGAAGATATGTCAGAATATATGCCAGAAGATATGCCAGATAGAATGCCAGATAAATGCCAGAAGATTTGCCAGATAGAATGCCAGAAGATATATGCCAGAAGATATGCCAGATAGATATGCCAGAAGATATGCCAGAAGATATGCAGAAGATATGCCAGAAGATATGTCAGAATATATGCCAGAAGATATGTCAGATAGAATGCCAGAAGATATGTCAGAATATATGCCAGAAGATATGCCAGATAGAATGCCAGATTGAATGCCAGAAGATATGTCAGATAGAGTGCCAGAAGATATGCCAGATAGAATGCCAGAAGATTTGCCAGATAGAATGCCAGAAGATATGCCAGAAGATATGCCAGATCATATGCCAGAAGATATGCCAGATAGAATGCCAAATAGAATGTCAGAAGATTTGTCAGATAGAATGCCAGAAGATTTGCCAGTAAGAAAATGTATAAATGTCATGGTGGGGATCACACGAAGTAAAGTAATTTTCTTCTGTTGTAGGTCGTTATGGTTTCCGTTGTCGTCCTTAAAATCATATTTGTTCTGTGACATGGAATATGAACAGTACTGGTACATAGGGTTCAAGAGTAATATGTGCGATGGTTAAAACATGTGTTGTTTTTCCCAGATTGGGGGGATGGTCATCAAATTCATCAATCCATAGCTAATCTATGGATTTGATGAGTAAAAAATAAACCCGTGATTCACCTGGATTTCCAGGGATGGATGATGATGGATGACATTTCAATACATTTCACCCATCATTTTAGCATGTTCTGACCATGGTACCATGGTACATTCCCTACGTAAACACACCACGATTTCCCCATGGATGTCCCAGGGATTTCCCTTGAAATTTCCCGAGGCAAAGACATCGAAGCAGATGTGGACGCCACCGTGGCGCAGGCCATGCAGACCTTGGTCTTTTGCCTCGAGTGCCGTGGCCGCCACCGGCAACGTTGGCAACGTTGGATGGAGAAAAAGAAGCGAAGAAAAATCACAACTGGGGGATATTTCATGGGGTATATATATATATGCTATATATGCTATATATATACTGTAATATATATATATAGATACACACATATATATATATATATATGTATAATGATATATAATGTATATGATGACTATAATATATATATATACAGTCCATGTTTGGGTGGTATGACTTTTGATGATAGATGCTTTTAACGGATGATGAATGGGTTAGCATGTGTTAATCACATACACTTTATCTTTAGTTTCAATCACATGAGAGCACATGAGTCTAGCATGGAAAAAACTCAATCGAAACAATGTATGTTCTTGGAATCGGCCCATAGAGGCAAAATATGACCAGCCAAGATCCTGGATACGATTCGTGTTTTCTCTTCCTTCCGGATATGTTCCGGAGACCCAGCTCGACCCGGTTCCCCGGTCCATTTCTTCCACCAAGGAAGTTCGGTCCCACCGCTGCGCAGAAGCACCTGAAGGACATCTTGGTGACTGCGCGAGACCAGGTTTGTCGCACCAACACCAGCTGCGCCAGGGACTTCTGCAGATGCGCTCCTTGGACGTCCAAGGGCCTATACTATACGGTGGTTTATGGTCACCATGGTGGTTGGGATAGGCTGGGTATGTCATATTATTATGTATCCATCCTCGACTTCTTCGATAACAGGGCTGCAAGTGACAGGAAAAACATCTCCAAACATTCTGCAAATATATAAATCCAGGAAAGTGGCTGGGGCAAGGCAAAGTAGACATCCAGAGAACATATCAGAACGTGATTAAACGCCATGATAAAAATGAATACATCAGATGAGAGATAACACATGATACTACATGATTTAATAGTAATTTATTTGTCCCTAAGGTTCCAGCTTCTCAGACCGTACTTGGGGCTGGGTTGGGTTTCAAACACGTTTTGAGACGGTACTTGGAGCACTAGCGTATGCTAAATCAATCTACATAAATCAGAATAAGTGATTCATGATTATGCAATAGTAAGCTACATTGAATTATGCAGAAATTGAGACTTTAAGACCCTTCAAGACTTTCAGCCACTTCAGCCCTTGGAACCCATGGCTTTCGCTTGCCGGCCAGGTGGTGGAGTCCCTGAAGATTGCCATGACGGGAGTCCCCACCGGGCTGCACCCTTCCTGGGTGGCCAAAGATGTCGCTGGGCGCGCGCTCAAACACCCTGAATGGGAAATCTGGATGAAAATGCTGGTTTTGATGGAGAAATACCGGGAAAAGCATGGAACATCATGATGCATGGGAATGTATAGGAAGATAGTGGAATTGTGGAATATATGAAAGGTAACTACCACTATAGTTGGCTGTGTCTGAAGATGGGGATGCTAATTTGATGGGATTCAATGGGGGTATAATATATAATCAACAATGTAGGATTTGAGGCTCGGTGTCATCATAGCTGGCTCGGTGTCATCATAGCTGGCTCGGTGTCAGCTCGGTGTCATCATAACTGGCTCGGTGTCAGTAGGGGATGGGGTTGCATGAATGTTTCTGAGCATAATATACGGATGTTATTTGATAAACATGTTTGGGCTGTATAGGTAAGATAGTCATACCGTATACCGTACAAAAGATGTTGCCTCAAACTTGTAGCAATAGTCATTTACTTCAGGATACTTCAGGATTTTAAGAAAGCAAGTAAGAGCTGGGATACATCACAACACAAGGCACTTCCTTTGCCGGTAAATTGTGGTTATTGGAACCCCTCACAATGATAGAGACGAAACTGACCACCTTTTTTAGGAGGAGTTTGTCCACTAGTACTTCTCAGGGGGTTGCTATTAGGCCTGTGATATAAACCGAACAATAAGTTTGCCGAGATACACTACCCATTTCTGATGAAGTTGAGGATGGTTTCTTCTTGAATTTACAAAATTACTAATAGACATCAATAACGATATCCATTTTTGTTTGAATCCCGATAGAATATCCAAATTTGGTGAAACAAAAATAGATGACTCCATACAATGTGGGGCCCCCCAGTGATGTTAGACGGTTTATAAACCCCATGAATACTATAGTTATAGGTACCATAAACCATGGGGGCCTCACATTGTAGATATTCCCCTTCAGCCAGTTCTCAGAATGCCATGCCGTCCCGAGGTGATTCCTGAACTCAAAGAGATGGCGGAAGACGCCTCGAAAGGCGCCAGTTCTTTCTTTGTCGTGACCCGTCGTGAGATAAGCACAACAGAAGTATTTTTAAGAAGCTCCAGAGTTAGCAATCATATATATATATAATGTTTATATATATATATATAATAGCATTATATATAATTATATATAA